TTAAATTTGAGCAATATTATTTACGTATCTTCTACAAAGAGGAATTTAATTTCAACTTCTGCATTAGATATTTGTGGTTATTCATTCTTCTAAGGAAATGAAAAAATTGATATTCTTTTTTATTTCATTAATGTTGGTTGTGCTTCCTTGATATATGATTTATATCGATTGAATGATTGATTACTCGAACTTCCTAATCTTCAAATCAATGCTGCTATTGGGCATAAATGTTAAAGGCCCGATGATAACTCCTTCATGTTATGGCATCATCATTTGGGTCATATCTCTAGAAAGAGAATGAAGCGTATGGCCAAACAAGGTGAATTATAAGACCTTAATTTCTTAAATTTTAATACTTGTGTTGACTGTATAAAGGGAAAATTCCCTATTAGAGCTGGAATCAAAGGGACAAAGATGTTTAAAAATAGCTTAGACCTAACCCATGATGATATATGTGGACTCATTACACCTCCGGCTATGGGCGATTTCAGATACTTCATTACCTTCACAGATAATTACTCTTGCCATGGATAGACTGAACTCTTGCGTGAAAAGGACGAGTCTCTTAATGCATTCAAGACCTTTAAGATAGCAGTCAAATTGAAACCTAACAACTTGTTCAAATATGTGAGATCTGACAAAAGATGAGAATTTTATTGGAGATATACTGAGACTGGCAGGAACCTTGGGCTATTTGCTTTGTACTTTCAAGAGCATGGCATTGAAGCTCAATATACTATACTTGACACCCCGCAGCAGAATAGGGTTGCAGTAAGGCGAAATCGTACTCTCATGGATATCGTTAGAAGCATGATCAATTATTCCTCACTGTCAGAATTCTTGTAGGGTAATGCACTTAAAACTGCCGTTTATATTTTGAATCAAGTACCTAGCAACTCTATTTTAAAGACTCCATATGAGTTGTATTTTAGAAAGACTCCTGCGCTTAAGCATATACGAGTTTAGGGTTGTAAAGCACAAGTAAAACCCTACAATCCACAATAAATGAAGCTTGATGCTAAAATTGTTGATAGTTTTTTTATTGGCTATTATATCAGATCTTATAGGTATAAGTTTTATTATCTAAATTACACTATTAGGATTATTAAATCTGATTGAGCTTATTTATTTGAAGATTCCTTAGACAGTAGGAGCTCTGTGCCTAGGCATATCAGTTTACGCGACGAAAGCAATATTTTGCCTATGCCTATCATGACAACCTCTCATGTTGAAAGAAATAATATTGTGGATTAGGATGAAGCTGAAGATGAATCACCTTTAGAGGGTGATAGGGATCTGGTTGTTGAACTAAGATGGTCCTAGAGGGTTCACAGGTTTGCTATTCTAAATGATCACATAGTATATTTGCAAGAATTTAATTCAAATGCTATTGATAGTTTAGACTTGATGTATTACTAAAAGGCTATTTCTAGCTTACATTCTTTTAAATGGTTGAAGGCAATGAGTGAAAAAATTGCCTCTATGTATTACAATCATGTATGGGAGCTTATAGAACTACCAAAGGGTTTTAAATTAGTGGGTTACAAGTGGGTCTTTAAAACAAAACGATGAGCTAGAGGTAAAATTGATAGATATGAAGGCAGACTTATAGCTAAAGGCTACAATAAAAAAGAGGGTATTGATTACACAGAGACCTTATCTTTAGTATCCACCAAAGATGCCTTTAGAGTGATAATAGCTTTAGTTGCATAGTTTGATATTGATCTTCACCAAATGGATGTCATGACTGCATTCTTGAATGGCAATTTGTATGAAGAAATCTATATGACATAACCAAATGGTTCGTTGAATCTGGTGAAGAACATCTAGTGTGTAGATTGAAGAGATCCATCTATGAGTTAAAACAGGCCTCTAGGCAGGTATTTGAAGTTTGATGAAGTTATCACTTCGCTCAATTTTGTTGAGAATGTCTCAGATTAGTGTATCTATCAGAAGTTTGATGGAAACAATTTTACCATTCTTATTCTCTATCTCAATGATATCTTATGAGCCAACAATTCAATGGAATTCATCAATGAGATAAAACATCTATTATCTAGCCATTTTGACATAAAGGACATGGGTAAAGCCTGCTTCATTTTTGGGATATAGATTCATCGTGATAGATCTCGTGGCATTCTTAGTTTATCATAGACCACCTATATTGAGCAGGTACTTAAGAAATTCAGAATAGATTCATGTTCTCCTTCACTTGCTCCTATACAAAAAGGTGAACTATTGTCAGAGTTACAGTGTTCCAATGATGATAAGAAAAGGGCTGAAATGAGAAAGATACCATACTCTTTCACTGTTGGTAGCCTTATGTATGTTCAACTATGTACTCGACCAAATATAGCTTTTATCATTAGAGTGCTAGGTCGATACTTAAATGATCTAGGTCTAGATCATTGGAAGGCTGTCAAGAAAGTTATGAGGTATTTTCAAGGTACAAAGAATTATATGTTGACCTACAGAAGGTCAAATTTTCTTGAGGTTATTCGGTATTTTGATTATGACTTTAAGGGATTAGAAGATGTTGAAACTATTAGCTTTTTAGATTCAGATTTTGCCTCCTGTTTGGATGATCATGAATCCACAACCGGCTACATTTTCATGTTATCTGGAGGAGCTATTTTTTGAAAAAGTATGAAACAGATACTTACAGTAGTTTCATTTATGGAAGATGAGTATATTACTTTTTTTTGAGACTATATGTCAAACTATATGGTTGAGGAAGTTGATATATGGCATGCGCTTAATTGAGTCAATATCACGTCCTTTAACCATTTACTGCGATAACAAATCTACAATATATTATGCTAATAACCACAAAAATTTCAGTCCTATAAAGTATTTTGATATCAAACTTATGTTTGTGAAAGAGAAAATTACTGAGTCTGAGACCCGTGTGGTACACATTCCTAGCATACAGATGTTTGCATATCCATTGAGTAAGGGCTTACCTGTAGAAGTTTTTTCAAAATCATGTAACTTGTATGGGTATTGTGAATTCTCTTGATGCTGTGGTTTAGTGGGAGTCTGAGAATCTTTTGTATTGCAATTTCTCTTTAGGCTTTATTTCTTCTGTGAATTATGTTCAGTTCAGTTAGATACGTCTATGTCATTTGTATCCCAATAGGATTCAATGATTATGTCATGGTATGCTATGCATGTCACTTGTTTCTCCATAGAAATCAGTGATTTATAATATTATCTTATTGAATTATGTTGGAATAAAATTTTGTATTTTATTCAGATTATGAGACATTATATAACTTATTTTGCCATAGGATCCAATGATTTTGTGAAGTTTCATTTTCTGAATTTTGTATGTGGCTTGTTTATATAACTTGCTTAATTAATGCAATCCAAGTGGGAGATTGTTGGAATATTTATATGGATTTGCATTAATTAATAAGCTCAAACAGATTAGTCCTTATGATCTTGTGTAGATCGTGATAGGTAAGCCATACAATGGGCAGAGGTCTAACCTACAATCCAATAACCGCCAGTTATTTCCTATCTCTTAATTGATTGAGTCAGAGATAATAGAATATAATTATTTAATTATTTAATAAAGCAGTTACTGTCTGATCCTTATAAATCGATCAGTCAATAACCACTAAACACATGATACATTCTCATCCCACTCTATTAGCTCTACACTCTTTGAAGACTCCAAGGATAGTGGGTTGTGTATCTGTCCATACTCGAGGTAATCGAGGTGTCTCTAATAAGTGATTATGGATTTTTTTAGGTAAACACATATTACTTTATTATATCATATTCGATTATAAATGAATTGAGATAATATATCTAACAGTCACGAGTGTGGAAAAGACATATAGGTGTAGGGAAGAAGAGAGAAGGTGGGAGCAAGCTTGAGAGAGTGCGAAGTTGTGGTGCTGTAAGAGGACTTGAGGAAGCTTAAGAAAGTACGGCTATGAGAAAAATGAAGAAGAAAGTAGAGGAGAGAGGAAAGAGAGAAGGAGATGATGGAGTAAAGAGATGGGGGGAGAATGTAGGTAGAGCCGTCCTGGGGGGTGAAAGTGGGAAGTTGTAGGCACAGAGAAGACATACAAGTGTGGGGAATAAGAGAGAAGAGAGAAGGTAGGAGAAAGCTTAAGAAAGTGTGAAGTTATGGTACTGCTGCAAAAGGACTTAAGAAAGCTTGAAAAAGCGACACTATAGCAAAAATGAAGAAGAGGGTGGGGGAGGAGAGAGGGAAGAGAGAAGGAGATGAGATAGAGTGAAGAGGCGAGGGGTAGTGCATACAAAGAGAAGAGCAAACGTCATCCTTGGGGCTAAAAATGCAAAGTTGCAGGCATGGATAAGAGGAAGAAAAGAGGAGAGAGAGGATGAGAATAAAAAATGTCAAAAAATTGTTGGCCTCATTGATTATAAACTGACATATTTAACTTAAAGGTAATAAGTAATATAATCTTTTTGTGCGCACTTTTAGAATATTTTTAACTCTTAACCCTTTAATATAAGACAAAGCTGAAATGAATATTTTATACCGCTTATTTATTTATTATGACTTAAATTCCTAGAAGACAATGTATTATGAATTTATGATCATTAATTATAAAGAAGAGAAAATTTGAGAATTTAATTTTTAAATAATCTGAAAAATATAATTATCATTTCCTAATAAATATGAAATTGATTAAGTTTATAACAAGGACAAGAGGGTGTGATACTATAATTGTATTGAGGTAAGTCTTCTATTCATTTTTTCAAAAATATAAATTTATAACTCCCTCAAGGATTAAGATTATTAAATCATTACTTGCTGTCCAATCTTTATCATTTATACATTTTTTTTCCTTCTTTTTTGTCCGAACATTACATTTTTTTCAAGGGGAGTTCAATAATATTATTCAATATCAAAGTACTAATTAATGATTTAATATTAATAATTAATATTATTATTATCATTATTATGGGAAGTTAAACTTAAAGTCCGCCACACACTTGGGTGGGGGAAAAAAATTAAAACAGACTCCGTCACATTCACACACGACTCCAAGTCAGCTCAATCCATAGGCGCTTGAGCGGGGCAGGCGGCTTCTGCTGTCCAGACAGAAATGACGACCGCCACTTCTCCGGTGGTTTCCACATTGTTCCACCACACTCACCCGCTGAAGAAGAAGCCGTCGCCTTATCTCCCCAAATCCCTTGGTCTCCATTCCCACAGAGCCGTTCTCCCTCCTTATCATTCCCTCTCTCTCCTCCGCCTCTCTTTCCTTCCAAACTCTCGCGGCCCTCCTACCAATACTCCCACTTGTTTTCTCAACCTCGGCCCCATCAAAACCTCCCTTTCATCGGCTTTCGATTCTCTCCTCCTTCTCTGCACTTCGCTGGCTTTATCTTCTGCCCTATTTCTTGCAGATGTTGATCCCGCCTCCGCTTTCGTGGTCACTACGCCCAGGAAATTGCAGACCGATGAGCTCGCCACCGTACGTCTCTTTCAAGAGAACACCCCCTCTGTTGTTTACATAACCAACCTTGCTGTCAGGTGGGCGTAATCGCTAAAAAGAATTCATTTTCCTCCACATAATGTTATTCATTTATTTGTTCTCGTTATTTTTGAAGATGTGCTTTTCTTTTTAAACCCTTTTTAACCCTGGGTTATAATGTTTCTGAGAAGTTGTATGATGTTGATTTAGGCAGGATGCGTTTACGTTGGACGTGTTGGAGGTTCCGCAGGGCTCTGGGTCTGGCTTTGTTTGGGACAAAGAAGGTCATATTGTAACCAATTATCACGTCATCCGCGGCGCTTCTGATCTCAGGTTGGCTAATTTTGAATATTTTCATGAAGTTAATCTGTATCACTTGAAATTGCACTTTAAACTAATTGTTAAAGATAAGATCTGTTGATCCGGCCCTATATGTCTGACATTGAGTTATATATGATGCCAGGAAGTTTCTAAGCCTATAAGTTATGCAGCCATGAGTGTACAGATTCTGCATTAAAACGTTTACCTAAGCAAAAAATCAGGGAGCTCAAAAGGATATATTTTTAGCAGCTCCTTCACGTTCATTTGCATTTAGTTAGATGTGTGATATGTTGGATTTCTTCGACTTGAACCCTTTGATCAGAATATAGATCCACATGTTAAGGTGGTTCAAAATGTACAAGGATATTTCCATCTCCTACTAAAATTATGCTAGTTATGTGCAGGGTCACGCTTGCTGACCAGTCTACTTATGACGCAAAAGTTGTTGGATTTGACCAAGACAAGGATGTGGCCGTCTTGCGTGTTGATGCACCTAGAGACAAACTCAGACCTATACCTATAGGTATTTCTGCTGACTTACTTGTTGGTCAGAAGGTGTATGCTATTGGAAACCCGGTGAGAACTAATGACACTTTCATACAGAATTATTCATGTGGTTTTTATGCATTATTGATTGAATTGTTCTTCTTCAATTATGCATATGGTCAATTATGTGGTTTATATAGCCAAAGGAAATGTAAAAAAATCTTATGAAAAGTAATAGCCTCTGATGATTGTTACTATATGGTTCATTGGGCGTTTGATCTTGTAATTGATGCTTTTCTCGATAATGAACTAAACTGATCGGCCAATGTGACATTTTATCTTTGTGCAGTTTGGACTTGACCATACTCTTACAACCGGTGTAATCAGGTATAAAACCAACGTAGTGAAACTACAATTGATGCAGCGGACTCTTCTTATATTCATTTCCGTGCTCCTTAGCTCTATTCAACCAAATTGCAAATTTTATTTTAGAGCACTGAGGCAGATGTAAGAAAGATTTGAGTTGTCATTTATCACATTATTAATGCTGGTGTCTGTGTTGTGTGACAATTAAGTTAATAGAAAAGTGGTAGGCCTCCTGGATTTATTGTCATAACCCACTGATAATATTATTCGAAGGTAATATGGTTAAGAGGGAGAAGAAAGAGGTTTCACAAGTAGACAAAAAAGTTTTGCTAGACAAGGGAGAGAGGGGTGGGGAGAGCAATTTAGCTAAAGAAGCTGCTTGGATGAAAATGGATGCTTATCCCTATAAATTGAAGATACTTCATGCAACTATACTTTTTCCTCTTTTCCTGAAACTTCAACTTTCATGGCAAGGCATGTCAAATGGGAAATAGAGTTTAATTTTCAGATTTAAGCATCATATATATATATATATAACGTGATGTTACTTTTGTTAATCCTTTTATCCCTCTTCTGTATTGATTGCGTTACTAATCTATTAATTCTCAACAGTGGACTTCGTCGAGAAATTAGTTCTGCTGCTACTGGTCGTCCAATTCAAGATGTTATACAGACAGATGCTGCAATCAATCCTGGTAACAGTGGAGGGCCACTCTTGGATAGTTCTGGAAACCTCATCGGGATAAATACAGCTATATATTCCCCATCAGGCGCGTCCTCGGGTGTTGGATTTTCTATTCCAGTGGATACTGTGAGCTCTTACTTAGACATCAGATTATATAGTATTTAACCTTTGGCCAGCCATATGGCTCTGTTTACTCATGCTCTTATAGCCTACACGCTTCTTATATTACATATCTAGGTAAATGGAATTGTTGACCAATTGGTGAAGTTCGGAAAGGTCACAAGACCTGTTTTGGGAATTAAGTTTGCACCGGATCAATCTGTGGAGCAGTTGGGTGTTAGTGGAGTACTTGTCTTAGATGCTCCTGCCAATGGCCCAGCGGGAAAAGCAGTATGCTTATTCTTACATTAAGCCTCATTTGCTATGTTTCTTGAATGTGGTTCTACTTACTAATACTATCACTCATTTTAAGTGCTTCATAGCTTGAATTTGCATTCATGGTTACAAGTTTCAACTTTTTGAGGCGTAGGAATTATGCTGACAGAGCTTGTCAAAATTAATGTTTTGTAGGGCTTGCTGCCAACAAAACGAGATTCATATGGCAGGCTTATTTTAGGTGACATCATAACGTCTGTGAATGGTAAAAAGGTTACTAACGGAAGTGATTTGTACAGAATTCTTGACCAGTGTAAAGTGGGTGATACGGTACGTCTCTGGTGTTTCCTCTATTGACCTCGTAGATTTTCATAGGACCATGCGTATCTCAAGCCTATCTGAATAATTATCCAAAAGGATTTCTTTTTGTGGGGGAAAACAGAATAGGATTCTACCAGATTCTGGACAGTTGTACTAGAAAGTACAAGTTAATTCTAGGAGGAAGGAGCCTAAACATCACCATGATCTCTATTCTTAGTCCGTTTGGATTAGCTGGTTCGTTTCTTAGTAATATTCCCAGTTTAATATGTCCGAATTTTGGAAATATATTTTAGGTAAAAGTTAGAACCGAAGCGATCTCTAGTTGGCGGTGATTTACGGTGTTGTGGTAGTATATTGGTGCAATAACTGTTTTATGTTGGTTGGTTTCAGGTGACGGTGGAGGTATTGCGAGGTGACCACAAGGAGAAGATCCCTGTCGTTCTTGAGCCAAAGCCTGATGAATCATAATGATACGCCTCTCACCATGTATATACAATACACTCAGGTCCTAAAACACCTGCCAGGGAATGCTGCGATTTTATGTGTTTTCTGGGTTGTTTCCTGACGTAAGGTCCAGCTGTACATATGTATTCTATTTCTGCCAAAACTAATCATCCTTAAATTTTGAATTCTTAAAGTGTGCAAAAAAAAAAAAAACAACTGACCACATCTATGTTTAAGAGAGGCAAGGGGAGTATGAAAGCATGTTATGGATCTCTAATTAGGGGGGAAGGGAAACTAAGCATTTTTTAAACATGTGCACGGACTTTTCTCACTTGAATTGGATGATTATTATTAGTCCAAACTAATCTGAATTAAGTTGAATAGAACTCTCTTGGTGTGGTGAGTTATACTACTAAGTATTTAACGGATGCATTCTTTCAATGTATCTTTCTTACCGGTCAATGAAGATTAAGCAATTTGTGCTACCTCCCGGAATAATTGGGGGTGATTTTGGACTCTCTCTCTCTCTGTTTTTTTTTTTTTTTTATTAAGTGGTTTGGTCTATTTATTTTCATGGATGTCTTTTTTGATTAAGTCTAATGGATTCGAGCCCATTCAGCCAAGGCTAGGAAATTGGGCCATGCTGATCCAACTGTGACTGAAAGGCACCTGAGGATATGTGATTGTTAGATTGTTGGAGGAGAGAGGAAGAATAGTGGATCATAATATAGGAGATTGGACGGCGCCGATCAAGAATTAGGGAGGAATTGGGGGCCTGTTCAAAAATTGTTCCAGTTTAACTAGTAATTTTGAGTTTGAACTCTAAGAATATAGTAGTTGCTCTAGGAATATAGGAAAGCTTCTGCCTTAATGGGTCTCAGCTTGTCTTGATTCAGATTAGTTGAAGTCATTAGCTTTTAGATATCAGATGGTTGCACCCAAAAAAAAAAAAAAGATTAAACCGATAAAAAGTGATTAACCAATCTGTTTACATTCTTTTAATTTAAAATATATTCCTAATTTATGTTTTATACATTCCTATATCTCACAAGTATAGAGAACAAATAATGAGAAAATATAGAAGCATGTGTATATATGTTCTAAAAGTATAAACTACAAAATAAGTGTTTGCATTATAGTTTATGGATATTTTATATCTCATAATTATTTTGTTTTTTATTTTTAACATTATAAAAATATGATTTATTTTAAAAATCATATTTTCAATTCTGATCTTTACTTGCATTATTTTTTCTCTAATTTTATTATTATTTATTTGAAATCAATTTTTTTACATTTTTTATGATACAGAAATATATAATTAAGATATACTTCTTCCGTTTAAAAATATAAAGTATTTTTTAAAAAGTTAAATATTAAAAAATGGAAAATATTTTTAGTGTTGTAAAATGTAATCATTATATATATATATTTTTTAAAACTGTTTTTAATAAATAAATTACTTTATATTTATTTTAAAATAAAATATTTTATTAAATAAGGATAAATATAAAAAAAAATAATGAGTTAAAAATGCAATATAAAGAGATGGAGTATTAATTTTAGTATTACTAGGTGAATCGCAAGATTGGACTGCAGATATAATACAAATCCGCAGTAAATTTTCATCATGTACAGGTTTTTGTGGCTTATCAACGTTAGTTTTCCACTCGGGTCTAACCAGGGATTGTCGTGTGGCTCACCACTTGGCAGTGTTTGACCCTTAAAGATGATGTCTAATCTCTTTATTCATCTGCAAGTCACTCGCAGGATCCAGGTCCCCTCGAAATCTGAAAAACACTCATCACTTCCCTTCGCTTAAGATTTTCTCTAGCTTTCACGGCCTATATCTAAACATTAATCGTCAGCCCGAAAGCCGTGCTTTTTGTGTTCTTTTTATCGTTACCCTTTTAATGTTTGCGCTTCCTCGTCTCTCGTGAATGTTTCCGCATTCTAATTTACATAAAATTGCTGGTTTTTTTATTGGCAGGTGGTTAAGGAGCTGACCGATCGAACACTAGAACGAAGCCAGAAATAATGAACATTTTGTGGTCTCATAATTTAAGGGAAAAAAAAGAAAGTATTGTCTACTACACAAACCCAGTTCAGAGTGTCATATAAAGTGTATACGAAGAAGGTAGGTAGTAGCACTCTTCATAGCAAACACGACCTCTAATATAGCTTCCAATGCAGAATGGTGGCCACATCTTTTACCTAAACAAAGAACACAAATGCACGAAAAGGAACGTTATAAATGGAGAATCTCCATCTTCTTTTATTAATTACAAAACATTTTTTAACTCACAAGAGGGGGTAGTTACAAGAGAGAAGACAACTAGTTAGGGAACCAAGATGAGCAGGACTCATTGGTAATATATTAATGGTTGTTGGTTCATACGGAGAAGGAAGAAGAAAGGCCAAATTGAAGGCCCCACAGCTCAAAAGATCCTTTCACAAAGTCGTAGTATCCTCCTTTCAGTGCCAGTGTCTTGTTCACCAACCCCTCTCTCACAAATGGATATGTCAGCAGATTCCCCAGTGAAACATTCACAGCTTCCTGCAAATTAAATAAATATACCCACCACATTAATTATTTCCAAAACCATCTCACTTCTTTTCTTATTTGCAATCAAATCCAAAAACTGTGTCACACCTTCTCACAGTGTGTGCACAACTCAGGGAATGGTGCGCCTCCATGAACTGCTTTCACTCTTGCCTTTGCAGGCAAACCAATCTTGACCCAGTCCTCTATGAAGTCAGTGCTGCACATCACCAATCGCAGAAGCAGAAGACCCCCATTTAATATAACTGTGATGGATATGTTAGATTTGTTCATTTCAGACAAATTTACTTACCTGGGAACGGCTCCATTATCTGGGATGGACATGAGCCCCTTAATACCACCACAAGCACTGTGGCCAATCACCACAATGTTCTCCACCTATTCCAAAAATCCTCTGTTATTTTGGTCAGTTCAGATCAAACCCGCTAAATGTTTTCGAGTTTTGTGTGGGAATTGGCATACCTTGAGATGCAGGACAGCGTACTCAATGGCAGCCCCAACTCCAGAATATCTTGTCTGTTGCAGCACAGTAAGATCGGACGAAAAGAAAGTTCAAGTTTGTTCTCGTACTTTAAAGTAGAAAAAATTTAAAGCAGCACTGGTTTTACTATTAAGGGACCTGATCGTATGGCGGGACCAAGTTAGCAACATTTCTGACCACAAAAGCCTCCCCAGGTTGAAAATCTAGCACGTGAGATGGGCACACCCTTGAGTCTGAGCAAGCAAATACCATGAACTGCAAGTGCAACATGCAATAAAACAAAATCAAGCTTCAAGAAAAAAGATTTCTGTCTAAATCCAAAAGTTTATTTCATAATCCTTCGATAGTAAGATCATACCTTGGGGCTCTGTCCTTTGGCAAGTTCACCGTACAGAGCAGGGTTCTTCCTGTGGAAGATGGCAATGGGAAACGGATACAGTAAGAAAGGCTTGAGGTGAAAGAAACGGAAAAAAAGACAAACTCTCAGACGTAATTAATTATTGAAGTGGTTCATTAGGGAGGGGTGACTAACTCGTATTTCTCTCTCTTGAAGTAAATAAAACCAGCTTTGATCCTCTCGACAGCTTCGGATGATGCGATGCCTTCAGATGTTGGTGTCCCCAGCTGAGCTGTTATTTGTTCCACTTTCGCAGCAGCTGTGGGTTTCAACTCGCCCTTCACCCTGCATATCAAACATATGTATACATGTAATGTTACTGAAATGAAATTGCAGGTTCTATAGTTATTATATATGTTTTAGGTTTGGTTGTATTCCAGCAAATACATCTAAGAGAGAATATGTGCCATTATTACTTGAGCAGTTTCTCGAGTTCTACAATAGCTTCCTCGTATGAATCCTTCCCCATGTCCTCGTTCTGTTAAAAAACCCCCCAAACAAAAACAAATGTCAGTTGACATATGTAGCTGATGCTATACAGACATGATCGACAACATTATTAAATAATAACTTAAGGCTTCTCTGTTATTCTATTATGTGGTACATGGAAATGTGGAGTGGTTGTTCTATTCTATTCTATTACTTGTATGAAAAGAGAATTGAACATTTTGATGCTGACTGACGACTCAAAGAAGGGTTTGAACAAATGAGTGCGACGCATACGTCACCGGAACCTAACAACACTACCAACGTGGAGGAGGATGACAAACAAACAAAAGTTGTCCACGTGCAAAACTCGCCAATTTCACACCAACTTCAAGTTAAAAATCTATTAATGATTGTGTTAAGTTATCAAATTAACTCTATCCTTGGAGATATAGTCACATGAACTCGAAAAGAATTTGATCTTTATATATCTCAGCTGCCAAGCACTTGCTTGCACACAGACACAGGCTTAGTAATTCAAAATAGACAGATGTACAATGTAGACAAAAACAGTGAAGAGCATTACGGGACATGACTGCAATAATGCATTATGCTTGAGGATGCAAATAGAGAGTGAGAGATACCAGAGTGGGGGTGATGAGAGGACTAGGGGCAGCAAAGACAGGCCTGTTTTGAATGAGAGAAGGGATAGAGGAAGAGGAGGAGGAGGAAGAGGAAGGAGGAGGAGAGGCAAGCCTTGCAGAGAGAGTGGAGGGTCGTAATGCGGGAGTGGTGAGAGAGGTCTTAGAGGGAGAGAAAGAGGAGAGGCAGCAGCCACTGATGGAAGAAGCAGTCGACATTGTGCAAACACAAATATTCTAGAAATGGAGCCTCTCTTACATATAATAATAAGCCACCATGCATGCCCACTGCTATATCTATCTAACTGTTCCTTTGAAGAATTGCAGATAATGAAAGCGAAAGCCATGCAAACCTCAGCTTCATTCTGTATATCCTTCAGGATTAGGTTCCCAACCTTCACCACAGATCTCATGGGTGTTATTCATCCATGTCTTTTATCAGCTGAGCCCCATTCCGCGATGAAGATATTATTTATATGACCTTGAATTTTATAAGCATTTTTCCGCATATACTAATGTTTATAAGTTTCTTCTTGTTAGTTGAAGACACAGCAGGTGGATGCGACGCAACCCTTTCGCGCTCGCAATGACGGGTTGCCACGTTGCTCTGCTTCTATCCACTTGTGCCCCATCTCATTGGAACCATTTGTTATGTACTGTAATGTAATGCACTCAAGCTTCATACTTTATTTCAATTTTGCCTTTCATTGAAATCAATGTCCACAATGAAGTCCCTATTAGAATGAGCAACAAATGAAGGAGGGGTAGGATTGAAAAAAATATATAAACATTGCACCTTTGTTCTATATTTTAGATTAAGTAGGGAGGAGGTTTTTTGTCCTATGTATAATTAAGACTGGGATAAGTAATTCCGTAATATTTCATACCCAGTCCATTTACTAGAATGAGATATATTTGTGAAGTTTTTATGTTTAAATTTATAAGATATTTTGTGAAATATTAAGAGTAATTAATTGCTTATCTTAAAAATGCATGGCTCATTTTCGTCAAGAGTTTTATAACTTGCTAGTTAAAGATTCCCAAGTAAAAAAACCTTGCATTAATCCAAACATGATGTATTTAGAAGACTTGCCTCCAAAATTTGTTCCTTTCTATAGCATTAACATGTTGCAACGGAAGCAAGGGCAGTGTCATACAATAACAACAGCCATTCACGTTTTTTTTTTTTTAAAAAAAAAGGCTAAGGCACTATTATATATATGTGTATATATATCGATGGGTGGACATGTGATGGGAGCGAGAAGAGCACTCGAGTTGAAGATAAAGCCCTACCCTTCAACCATAGAATTTGTTTGTGGTTCTCTTTCTAGATCGTTCGTGGCATACCTTCTCTCCCCTGTTTGTATCAAATTATATAAATATCCTCAAGGATTAGACTGTCATCACTTATTATCATTACTCCCTCCACTACTAAATATGTAAAACATCAATTTACTTTATTAATTTATATTTTTTTTCTGAACTATCTATCATTATTAATTGCACATGTTAAAGGAAATTTTTACAGATGGGTAGTTTTCCAACGCAAATCATTAAAGGAGTTGTTTTAAGAAAATCTCAATACACATTTTTTTCATAAATAATTTATTGATGCAATTGATTTCTTTAATCTCTGTACAAATTAGTTATGTAGTTCTTATATTTATTAACACCGGAGGGAGTGTTATGTCTCTAATTAAAACATAATGAACATGCAACTTATAAAAAGATTTACACTATATATTATGATTATTGTTTACAAAACCATGCATCTGTCTTGTTTTGACTTAATATATCGAAAGAATGTGTTTTTTTTTTTTAATCATAAGAATGATTAAAAAAAATAGAAGAACAGAAGAAAGAACGAACGGCTACTTTAATTTGAGTTTGTACCTTTTGTGTCGTCGGGCTTCATGTACAAGAGCTTCACCGGGCGCAGACTTCTCAAACACCTCATATATACATATCCCACATCTCGTGTTTTGTCCCAGCAAGAGGAATACGAATACAAATTTCTCGCAAAGGAAGAACCGAACCAAACCTTCCTTCTAAACTCCATCAGAGTCTGATCAACTCAGAACTTCTTTGCCATACTCTTGTTTACCCTCTTCCCTTCGAGACACAAGGAGTATTTTCTGTCAGTATAACAAAGAGGATGTGCTTGCACCAAACAACACTCGAGATCATAATGAAGGTTTTGTGAGAGAAAGCAAGACTTTACCAGAAAAGGGGAAGAAGAAGCAGTGGACTTGGCAGCGAAGCTTTGAGGTCGTCGCCACCACAGCGCATGCAAAAACGTGAGATCCTGAGAGGGAGAGGACTTCAAAAACTGCAATGAAGAACAAGTAGCGTGTGATCATCACCAAATTTGGTGGTTAATTGTGTACATGAGGGAAGCGTAAGTCCCTCTCTGCATGTGAAACAATGTCGACATTTTAGAACTATAATGAGCAAACCATGTCAACATATTCTTTGTCTTTGCTTTTCTCTTACACTCATAACGCTTCTTTTAATTAAATAAAACATCCCATGTAAAATGTCAGCACAAAGAGGATAGTCGTAGTTGAGATTTGAGATAGAGGCATGACAACATGGTGGAAGACGGGCACGTCTTCGGTGCTCATCCATCAAATAAAATCTGAGCCCAGATTTTTATTTAATTTTTAATTTAAATTTAAATTTATCAAAATAAAAATTTATAATTTTTTTATAAATAGGTTTGTCATCAATTTGGATCGTATGATTTAATTTAAATGATTTAATTTAATATTATAACTTCTTAAATTAACTATCTACATGCTCTGAACAGTCCATATTCGATATTAAATGTTTATCTACAAAGTTTAAATTTAAAATTTTTATTTTTTATTTGATGAATACAATATTAAAAAATAAAATATAAAATTTTTTAATTATAAATTTTTAAAAATATTTTTTTAAAAATTACAAATTAAAAATTTTAAATCAAAATTGTATAAAATATATCTGAATAGTCGATATATAAAAATATTAAAAATTTAATATTAAATTAGACTTTTTAAATTAAATATAAACTAGATTCGTCAAAAAATATTTATTAAATTTTTTTTATAATTTTTATAAATTTTTATTTTTAAAAATATAAAATAAAAATATTAAATTATTTTCTCAAATCTGGACCATCCAGATTAAAAATCTGGATGGTCGGTGCTCATCAGCCCAAGATGGTTCCGGTGGAAGACATTACTACAATTAAATTCATGTCTCTCTATATATGCGCTTTTTTGATATGTTAACGTTGTTGTCAATCTGTCATCTATACAGTAAGCATCTGAATTTTTCTCCAGGGACAGCAGAAAGGACTGTGATGCATTTGTCATGAAATTTAACAAGTTATATTATTTATAAATTATAAAGTATAATTTATTTTTCGGGTAAGAAAAAATGTATGTTTGCGCATGTTTAAACAAGGGCCTCGCCCCGGGCCCAATATACTCATGGGTTTGTCAGTTATTACTTACGGGCTTTTAACTTTCCCTTAGCCCACTCCGTCACGTATAGTTAAGCTACTGCGGAAAATTATTTTTGTATGAATAAAAACTATGGGAAAACGAATTGTTTTGGTCTTGGATCACCGGAAAAAAAAGAAAAAACTAGGGAAAAATTATTATGAAAAATATTCAAGGAATAATATCTGCTATGAAGAATCCAAGAGTCCGTGGGAGAAACTCATTTTTTAATATGTTAATAGAAGGCAAAGTCTAAAGTCCAAAATACTCTCTGATTTTTTGAGTAAAAGTAAATGTGATAAAACACAATATTTCCTTTTTTGCCAATTTTTCAGCAGACTATTAATCCAATTTTCTTTCGTCTCTTTATAAATATGTCGAATTCATCCTTCTTATTTATATAATGGTAAGCACGTTATTTTCAAACTCGCTTGATTTAAAAAGAGTTATAGTATTAAATATGATTGACTTGCTCATAGCAAGACGCCCAGTCTAACAAAAATAGTGATACTTGTATAAATTTATATTAGCACTGTTATCGTGAGAGATAAATAATGAAAACTTTATATTTCATGGTTATGCAGCCAAGTAAATATCATCATGAATTCATCGTAGAGTCGTATTTGCCATGAGTATGGTGGCCCTGGCTCCTTTCTCGCTGACTACAAGCAAGGTGACCACCAAAAACAATTTTATAAACCTCGAGTTAGAGATCATAAGAATAGTAATGATAATAACGAACATCATGATTCTTGTCTATAATAAATTATTTTTTATTAATTGATTTGAAATCTATTATAGATTTTTGTAAATTTTTGCTATAAAAATTTTTAAGTATCTTTTATTAATTTTATCGAGTGATAGAAAAAAATTATAAATAATTAACTTATAATTCACGACTAACTTTTATAAATTTTTAACTAATATTATAAATAATTTTAAGTATATTGTATAAATTTCTCGAATAATTTATCTATATATTGAAAGTAAAAAAAGTTATAAGTAATTGGTTTACAATTCACAACTGATTTTTATAAATTTTTAAATAATGTTACTTTTTACAAATCACAACTGACTCTCATAAATTTTCAAATAATGTTACTTTCTACAAATAATTTTAAATATATTTTTTAATTTCTCACATGATTTATTTGTATATTAGTAATAAAAAAATTGAGATTCAATGATTTACAACTTATTTTCATAAATTTTTAACTAACATTACAAATAATCACAAATATTTTTTGTCAATTTTTCAACTGACCATTCATATTTTTTTAATCATAAGCAAGGGGTTATTAATATTTTAATAATTAAATGCTTGTAATTGTCATTAATGAAAGGTATAATTAATTAATTGTCATTGAATTTTTATAACTATTTCAATCATCATGGTATATAAACAAATCAAGGTCAACACCTACTCAAATTTTCCTAAAGTGCTCTTTACTTATTTAATATGAATTTATCTTAAACCATTATCCGATACTATTAACAAAATCAAAGATCTTACTATAAAAGATTGATGATAACTTTCAATTATACTTTTAAAGAAGTGAACAATTGGCTTGCAAATCAGGTTTCGAACATAAATTTAAATTTTATAATTCTTGTTATTCTGCCTTTTGATTATGAAAATCTTTTAACCTGTAACATGACTTAATTGCTATACCTTTCATTATTTATTGTGTCTTCTTTATCAAAAAAAAGAAGAAGAAGAAGAAGAACATATAAACAAACAAAGGCACAGATCCAACAATTACGCTGTGTGTGTGTGTGTGTGAATTAAATACTGTCACAGGCAGTAACCGATGCACAATTTCACCGTTCTTGGAATTTTTTTTTTTATCCAGTTTGTAAAAAAATGAAAAAATTAGCTTTGGCCTCCATATTTTAGGTAATTTTCAATTGTGGCCCCATGTATGTGTTTCTAGATTCGTGACGGACTATATGACATATGCAATTGTTTTTTTTTTTTCCTGTATAAAAAAATATGTGCTAAATGCATGATCATGAGAAAATGACTAGAACGCTCAACGCCAGTGAAAATGATTAACATATACATTCAGACTCATAGAATGTCACAGGAAAAATAGTAAGAAGTGTGATTTTATTTGATATTAGAAAGTCCATACCATTGATAATCGTATTATAAATCGAATCCAATGTATTTTAAAGCCAGGCTATTACAATTTTTTTTTTTTTTGCCAACAACACGGCAGGGGTAAGAAAAATCACGGATTTTTTAAAATGACTTAATAAACAAAATTACCATAACTCGAAAAAAGAAAACAAAACCATCTGCGACACTGACAGTAAAAATGTACAAATAGGTGCATGCATCTCCTCACCGAGAGTTGACATACAACCTTTTTTTTTGGCCAACTGGTTTGTCATAAAATTTGCAAGGTGTTATATTTGGACAAAATTTACAATAAAAATAATTGCCAGCATTAAAAGATAAACGCCTTTATTTTGTTGGAACTTACAGACATGTTCCATCTGGTACTGTATAAACAGTTATTTTCTATGAGAAGTTGATATTCATTCAATTCAAAAATAGAAGTCTTTTTTTTTAAGCCAGGTGTTAAAAAATATAGAATATCTTTAATTTTTCAATACATAATTAATGAGTTTTTTTCAAATATTCTTAATAAATAAATTATTCAACCTGACATTTTATTAAATAAGGATAGATATCAAAAAATAATGCCAATTTAAATACAATTAACTAGCAAATTAAACGTGTGGTTCAATTAAAAATATTTAAATTTTTTTAGATGGAGAGAAGATCCCATTTATGAATCATTTTGCATAATGGAAAAGTGACTCACTCAATGTTTCTAAAAGAATTTATTTTTTTCACAATTTTTTTATAAATAGTCAAGTAGAGTAGAAGAAAAAGTTATATATGGGAGAGACGTCGTTTTTATTTATTTATTTTTTATTAAAAGAGAGGAGTTGTTTTTAAATAGCATATTTAATAAAAGTAAATTAAATTAGAAATTTCTGACATTTTTAAAACAAAAACACTAATTTAACTACATCTCCTTTATTTACAATAAACTTGTTAAAAATAATTTATGCAAAATTAAGCTAGAAACACAAAAATAGAGTTTCCTCTAAATTTCTTGACTTTGACACTAAGGGCCCGTTTGGCATGATGGAATTAAGAGGGTGAAAATGAATTTGAAATTGGAATTGAAATTAATTTTTTTTATGTTTAATTGGTTGAGATGAGGTTGGATTTGGCTTTCACATGAAAATCATTTCCATCGATTTTGATGGAATTGAGTTCCATCCAAAAAACTTAGTTTTGTAATTTTAGATCTCCTTTTTTATTTTTTACCCTTCCTCTCTCTCTTCCATTTCCACCTTCTCTTGAACAACTGAGACTTCAGCATAATAAAGATTGACCTCCAACATTCAATCTCCAACCTCTGCTATTTAGCCGTTGTCACTTGTGCCATTCCCTTCACTGATGTCGACAGCCTCCTCCCTCACTAATTCCACCTATCTATTTGTCTTCTCATTCATTGAATTGAATGACGGCAGACTTCTCTACAAATGGCAAGGATGAACAAAGGTTTGCGAATCACGAGGATGAACCAAGATCTCCGGCGACCTCCAGCAATTTCATGATCTCGCCTGCTAACAGTGAGTCTTCTTTTTCACAACAATAGCGATGATGAAGGCTATCCATACGATTGAAGAGCAAGGACGATGAAACTAACAATATGGTTCCAGCGACAATCTTCTTCAAGCTAGACTCTGAGCTTCTTTAGCACAGTATCATCATTCAATTTTCTTCCTCTTTTTTGATAAAAGTCTAGTGAAGGTGCTTCATGGCGATTCCTTCTTGAATCTGTGGGTAGGAGCTGTTTTTTTTTATGACAAGATTTTTGATGAGAAGACTGGAGAGGACAAGCCGCTTGCATCTCTTTCGCCGCATGCTTTGTCTTCTTCAAATGTGAGCTACACGATGGTCCTTCGATATATGATGGGGCATTTTTTTTTAGATGAGGGCATTTTAATCTTTTTTTTTTTGTTTTTAAGATTAATGTTGAATAAAAATAATATTTCAATTCCATGAACAAACTAAATATATTTTTAAACTTCATATTCATTTCCATATCCATCAAAATTATTTCCACCGTACCAAATGTGATATAAATCTTTCTCAATTTATTGATTGTGTTGAAGAATTTTAAGACTTTTGATAAAAAAAGAACAATATGACTTTGAAATGTTTAATGACTATCAAACCTCAAAAGTTGAATTACATATAATTCTAAGTATATTTTCTTAATTTTTAAATGGTTTGTTTGTATATTAATAGAAAAAAAAATTAAGATTTAATAATTCATAACTGACTTTCATAAATTTTCAATTGTTGTTGTAAACAGACTAAAGTATCTTTTATTGGGTTTCCAACTAACTTGTTGTATTTTTTTACTTGCAAACAAGAACATGATTTGTTATTAAAATTTTAACAATTATAGTCTATAATTATCATTAACATTCTTATAGAGTCTCTATTTATCATTTTATTTTTTATTATTATTAATTAATTGCCATGAAATTTTTATAACTATTTCGATCGTGATATATATACAAACCAAAATCAATATCTATTTAGATTTTTCAAAGCTCTCTCATTTATTTAATATAATTTCACCCAAAACCATCAATATTGTTGATAAAATTAGGGACCTTATTATAAGAGGCTAGTGATAACTTCCAACCATATTTTTAAAAAAGTAAACAAATGTACTAATTGACTGGTTCGTCAAGCTTCAAGCAAAAGTTTAAACTCCATAATTTTTGTTGTTCTGCCTATTGGTTGTAAAAATCTTTTAAATTTTGATATGACTTAATTGTTATACCTTGCACAGTTAAATAGATAGAGAACAGAAATATAAACAAACAAACGAACAGATCGAACAATTCCGCTGTGTTTGTGCAAATCAAGTACCATTATGGGCACTAACGAATGTGGCGGGAAGTGGGGTTCTTGCCTCCTCCACAATTTCATTGCTCCTTGACTTTTTTTAATTTGTTTATAAAAAATGAAAATATTAGCTTTAGCTCCCCTAATTTCACTACTTCCTTTGCGGTAATGGTTTGAAGAGATGCTATGCTCTGTTGCTTGGTGCGAGTACAGCGGTTGCAAATCAAGACAATTTTCACGGGATTTTGTCCAAAAAACCTCGCACCCATCCATGATTTTGCTGAGGACCTTCATGTTTGGCAACTGCATGAAGTCCATTTTAGTGAGCTGCTTGGTTTGTTTTTCAGCCTTGTTCGGTTTGGTTTTCTAGGTGTCCGTGTTCATGTTTCTGCCTCAATTTTTCAACAGCACTGTCTGGCTGATGAATTTACACCTTCGCCATGGGTTCCTACTAGGGTATGGTATGTCTAATCCTACGGGAGATTTCAACTGGAGTTGACAAAGAATCAACTCAACGTTTTGCTCGCTGGTTTTATTTGTTATGCTAATTAGCTTTTGGAGTGGTTATTCTTGCTATACGTGCGAGCTGGCGTTACTTGTTTGTACTTGGTCAGTCTTTATTTTCTGTTCCTTTATTTTCTGTCGTCCATTGCACTTTGTTTTTCTGTCGTCTTCATCGTTGTTGGGCCACTTGTTTGCAATCGTTTTACCTCTCAATTTGAAGTTTGTCTTATTTAAAAAAAAAAGGGGGACTAAAAGCAACAAAAATCCTGAACATCCAGCACAATCTATATATGCTTTCCGCATCGTATGATTCCGTATCAATATGTTTCGAGTTATACAGAACAATTTATGATTCAACACCCATAGAAGGTGGTTAAAATTAAATCCAAAATATTCTAACCTAATCTCGTGTGTCAATAGTTTCAGAATGGAGTAAAGGGCTTGCCCAACCCATGGACGTTTGCAAAGAACCCAACCAAGTCTTGTCTGTAAGGCAAATACGACTTTCTCCTGTCCACTTTCTTCAGCTCTCTGTTTCTCAAGTAGAATGCCTCGTGAGCCGACATCTTCTTCACGATGTCGCCTGAATTCCCCTGTCCCTTGGCCTTCTGTTTTCCGGCAACCTTGCTAATTGACAGACTGCTTCCAGAGCTCCATTGTTCTTTCGAATTCTCTGCTCTCGCCTCCTTCTTTTTCATCGAGGCGGACGGCGTCAGGAACACGAACGACTCTTTCCCGTCGCTGTTGCTCCGCCGAAGCAAATCCAGAAGCTTCCATTTCTTCGACGACGACGACGACGTTCCCGTGGAATTGCTCTTCTCGCATCTGCTAGGCGATGCCTTCGCTGTTTTGGGAGTCCAAACACAGTACGTCCCTGGCGGAATCGACTCCAAATCATCCACATCCGACGAGGAAGACGACGGAGGATCACGATCGGCGAGCGCTGGATCCTCGTCGTCAATCAACAGCTTCCTCATGGAGAATTGAAGAGCTAGCGCATCCTCCTCGGCGTCAGAGGACCGACGGCCGATCACATCGTCCTTCAAGAGGTCCCGATCGAAGACGGGGAAAACAGGGCCCACGCGGCCATCAAAGAAAACCTCATCGGCAGCCTTTCGAAAGGTGACGAATTCGAAGTCGGCAGAGTCGGCAGCAACGGCGTGGTCATGGCGGCGAAATTGCTCGCGGGCAACACGATCGGCAACATCAGCGAGTTTATCGGTGGAATAGCTATTGAAGCTGGGACAGAGGAAGGAATCTTGGGGGTCTTGTTGATTGTGCATAGCTGTGTTGTGTGAGATTGATGAGTGACGGGAGCGTGAAAAGGCGAGGGGAGGGAAAATTGTATTTATAGGAGAAGAATAGGCGTGAAAGTCATTTCAAGGAAAAGCACCGAATAATGAATGGCTGACCAAAGCTATTGTTTAGTGCTTCCATGGCGCTCTTTGATATTTCTGTGTTGCTTCACACGTTTTTATGCACTCGGCCTCGCCTCCAATTCCATGCCTAGCTGCGTGATCCTGAAGTTTTCCTTTCCTTCCCTCTTTACTATTTTTGCTTGCAGTTTCCGAATTTTTGTTTTCGGAAAAATATCATTGTGATAATATGTTGTAGAATTTTAAATTATCAAATTCGTCTGCATTTTGGCTTTCATTTTAAATTTTATGATTAAAAATCTATGGGAAATCCAATCTCTTTCATGCGTTGATTTGAGAGAAAGGGAAACCACAATTAGAAACCTCATGACAATATTAATAATAATTATAAACTCTAAACTATTAAAATTTAAATAACATTATGATACTCATGTGATTAAAAAAATGCAAATATTTAATTAAAAAATTTATTAAATATATTTGAGATTATTTGTAATATCAATTCAAAATTTATGAGAATGGATTGTCAATCTTAATTTTTTATTATCGATATACAAATAAATTATTTAAAAAATAAGTAAATACAATTATAATTATTTGTGATGTTAGTTAAGAACTTACAAAAGTCGGTTATTAATAAAAAAAATCAATTTTTTTGTGCTATCAATATGTAGATAAATCATTTAAAAATTTACTAAACATTTTTAAAATTATTTATAATGTCAATTAAAAATTTATGAAAATTAATTATAAATTATAAGTTAATTCTTTGTAATTCTTTGTTTTTGCTTAAGAAATCAACATGGATAATTAAGAATTTTTGTAGCATTAGTTAAAATTGTACCAAAATTTATTGTGAATTTCAAACTAATTAATATAAAATATAATTTATTATAATTAAAAATCATGAGATTTTAATAGTTTAATATTTATATCTATAATTGTCATTCATAAGAGTAAACTCCTTATTGTCTTTTCTCCCTACACAAAGCGGGAATGAGTGGAATGTGGAAAGTAGCAGTAGTTTCTAAGAGTTGATGGATTGTGGGGTCTTTGTGGGAAAATAATAATAATTATTATTATTAATTTTTTTGTGAGGTAAAATTATGACGAAACACGGAGCCTTAATTATTCGAGGCTATGCGAAAATTTAAAAAGGAAAATGAGAATGGTGAGGTAATTAGAGGAGGACAGGTGGAAAGTGTGAAATAAATGATCTGGGCCTGAAGGCGGAGGTCCCAATCGATAGCCGTGGTAGTTGCGCCGATGAGAGGCTCTGATGGCCTGATATACACTGGTTACTCTCTCCACTTAATGCAAGTCACTTTTGAATGTTCCCTGAAAACAATGTTATATAATTAAATTATTAATATCGGGTAAAGGATGCTTAAAAAAAATTAATTTGCCCTGATTAAATGTAACAGACTTGAAAACAATTTCTCGCTTATGCTCCGTTCGTTCGTTTAAAAATATAAAATATTTTTAATTAAATTTTATTTTAAAAAAGTAATTATTTATTTTTTTAATTAATTTTATCTTTTTTTATTTATTCTTATTAAACACCCTACAATAAATATAAAGTCATTATTAATAGAGGTATTTTTGAAAAAAAGTTAATGATTACACCTCAAAAGATTAAAAATACCTTATATTTTTTAACATCCAACTCCTCAAAAAACATCTTATATTTTTAAATGGAGGGAGTACATAACTTTTATTCTACTCATAAAAAATTATGAAATGATAGTGCTTAAAAATAATTAATGATACATTCTAGACAAAACAACTTACAAAATGGAATAATATTTTTTTCTAAACGTAATTTTATACTCCTTTCAATTAAAAAATCTCAATCAATTTCACCATTTGATTAAGAGCATTTTTAGAACTCAAGTATTTAAAAAATAGCTCATAACACTAAATAGAAGAAATGTATGAAGTGGGGAAGTATATTCGGATGTGGTCAGGGATTAGATGCGGTACCTGAAATGGGTTAATGAAAGCAAGGTACAAAAGAGCATAGAGGGTGGGGGGAGGGGAGATTCGCGAGCAATCAATGCCGGGAATGAAGCAGACTGAGAATATTCCCAGAGATAAGGGCGAGCTCCTAAAATAAATAAATGAAATTAACAATTAGTAATTGCCGTCATTTTATTCACTGGCGATTATGAAAGGTTTCCTCTGAAACCCAGCAAGCCAAGGGGACCCTGTCGAAAAACAATCAAAGGAACAACAAAGGAGAAGCAAGTAGTACATTTGTTTTTATAACAAGTACATTGTTTAAAAAAAAAAAATGGACACGTTATATGAAAATGAATGCAGCAAGTTCGTGCTCTAACTGTAAACCCCCACCCCCTCCCCCCAAAAAAACAAAAAAAAAAAAAAAACCAAAGGGAGATTTCAACAGCAGCAAATGATACCAGACGGACACGCCCCCCGGGGGGGAGGGGATGCTCCTTCAGACAAGATTAAAATTTTTACTTGTAAAAAATATTAAATTATATTATTTTAGCTCCTTCATTTCATGTTTATCAGGTGATTTTTTTTTTCCTTTTCTTTTCTTTGGGACTAGCATATACTGATAAAACATCAGGCAAGCTGAGGAATAAGTGGAAGAAATAATGGTGATGGAGGCCTGGATGGGAATGGAAGGATAACAGTGTTCTGTTTTTTGGCCAAGGAGATAATAATGAGTAATGACCCGAGGAGGCAATTCCCTCTTAATGCGTGTTTAGTCTTTAGTGGCTCGGTAAGAATTAGTTATGATCCACAGCGGGAAATTTGGATACATTTGTAAAAAAACAATTGTTTGATAAATTAAAAATTGTCTAAATATACTCTTTTCAATTTTTTTGATAAATCATTCATGTCAACATCACTAATACCAATGTAATAAAGAAATGAAATAGAAGTAAGTATATAAAATTTTAGATATACATTTATATAAAAAATTTTCTAAAATTTTAAAAATGATGTCATGTTAATTTCTTTTATAAGAAGTAATTTTAAAAATAATTTTTAAATATTACTTAAAAAGCTACATTATAATTTATAAATAGAGTTAGATATGGATATTTTAAAATGTGCCTCGTAAATAGGAGAGGAGGAATCCAAAAGCTATCCAAAAAAGAGCTAATTCCAAGCAGATGACGAGCGGATTCTCTTGATCATTAAAAAAAAAAAAAAAAGAACACCCAGGCAGATAAACTTTTGAAGGTGAAGATAGAGCTTTCCAGAAGGGCTTCTGTCACTCCATAGACGCAGTCCTGATGGTGGAACGAATCGCAGTTAATTAGTTGGATGAAGTGTGAAAGCCATCCAAGAGACCCAGAAGGAGAAAATTTCTTCTAGAAGCCATACGGTGCTTAACCCCCAGACCGGAGGCCTTCCAGAAGCACACATGTGGCATGACATAACCCCACCCACGCTGATGCGTCATACATAAATCACTTTAATAATTAACTTCCTTTAATCATGAAAATCACACTGTAGAAACTCTAATAAATCATGCTATTAATAAATCAAAGAAATACATTTGTTTTTAATTTTTTTGGATTTCATGATATAGTTTTTAGAAATTACTAGTAAATTTTAAATATTCAAAGAGAAGCTGAGAATAAGTCGGTGAGAAGATTTATTAATAAGTCATAAACCCTTCTTTCACCAGGGTGAAAGGATTATAATTTGCACACCTAATGGCTGACGTAATCCTTTAAAACAGTACCCTCCCATACATGGTTTGTATTTTATAAATAATAACTTCCTTTTCCCAGGTTACGAAACGGCAGTGAATCACGTCACTAGAACCATCATCGTGCTTGAGGTAGATGACGGATACACTAGAAGAAACCTGGCCTTATGCTGGGTATATTGACCTGGCTTGAAAAGAGTAGTGGGAAAAAACCTGCAATGATAATGCAGACGGAATTAAATTGGCGTTCGAGGTGTTTCCCTGGGAGGCATTTGAAATTCGGAGAGGCCGAGGAGCGCGTTGAATGATGCTGATGTATCTAAAGTGGAGTTGCCCAATTAATCACTCATGCCCCAATTTCCACTAGCGGTATCATGTCTCATGACTGCTTCCACATGGAATATTCTCCCGTCCAGCACACCACAAAAGGCGTGTCCTTACTGAATATTTCAGAATTTGTCAGAGAAACAATGTGATCGAGCGCCGAAATTGCTTAAGGCGGTCTATAACTTCAAGGGTGCAACTGCAGCGGCGACCTTCAACCACATTCCGAGGGTCTTCAACAAACGAGAGTGCACTTGAAGTTGTGGAGTTCTTTTCGTTGGGATTTTTTTTTTTTGGGGTATTATATAAACACACGTATCGATCAAATATAAAAATTGTTGTATTTATGAACCAAACGCCCTCTTCAAGGCTTAAAGCCCGCTTTCATTTTTCTTCTTCTTCAGCTTCTCATTTATTTCGCCATTCAACTTGTTTGAAAATTACTCCCAAAAATGCCAAACAAGAGCACATGTACATATCAAGTGTACAATAACCGCAAGGAGGCAACTACCAGACTTGAATGACTTCATGCTTTGCCATTAAAAGCATGTGCATCACATTATCCATCAACGTAACACTTGAGACCTTTCCCATTGATTTATTCAATTGGTACCTTTTTAAAGTTGAATTAAATTATAATTAAATTAAAATTCCCCGAACTCAAACCCCCCAACACACACACAACACAACACCTTTTTTTTTTTAATTAAGAAAGTCAGATCCATGCACCAAGGCATCTGAACATCCCAACTATATTTTCAAGAACGTTCCTCCGCTAATTTAATATTAAACATTGCTCACTTGCCTTTCATTATAATCATCTCTTTTATTTTTTTCCCACGGACGACGACTCTTCATATATACGTAGCAGTAGTTAGGATTCAGGACAGCGACTTTGAGTCGAGGCGTTATATCAAATATTAATTATCATTCAATTGTCGCCCAGGCAGAGTCATGATCCATTAAACAATTAATGTAGAAGAAATATTTAACAAAAAAGCCAGAAGTTCAAGATCTTCGCGTATCAATTAAAATTCGTGAACAGCATTTTCAATGCGAACAACTACATATAATAATCTTTTCCTTCTTGTTCTGATTAGACTTTAATCGAATGTATACAAT